TGGTAACACTGTATGATTTAGGGTTTTTCAGTTCACACTTCTTCAGATGTATGCTATGCTACCATCCCATGCATACCACCAAAGTATCCACAGTTCTCTACTTACAGTTTTTGTCAGTTGTCCTCCACAATATCTCTATCAATATGTACTCCTTGCATAGTTCCGTATTCTTGGCCTACTTTAATCATTTTTTCCAAAGTAGTATATGAATGAAAATAACTGATTTTCTCTTAGGTGTGCTATCTTCCTAAAATTCTTAAAAATTCCTGATCCACTGTTGGCATTTTTTGTGCTTAATGGACGTTCTATGTGTATCTTTTATTTTTCTGTATTTATCTTTGCTACTAATATAATTTTATAATGGGGGGATGATCTCATTATGCTGATGTGTCCTATATACTGGGTTTTTGGATGTGAATATTCCTAAATTGTTCTTGCATACCAGACTGTACTTTGTCACAATTCAGATCTTTGTTTCAATATAAATACATGTCATTACCTTTGGGACTGACTTTTTTTTTTTTTTTAAAGATTTATTTATTTATTCATACAGAACTGGCATACAGGCCAGAGATGCAGAGGGTGAGAGGATTCACCAGGGTCAGAGTGGGGAACAGAACAGACAGATTGACGAAGTACACTGCTTAGGGGAGCAGCAGGCGGGTCAAGAGAGGTCTGCCATGCCATGTGGATCTCCTCCAGGGCAAGCGTGGAATCAAACTCATGCAGAAGTGGCTTAAGCTTCTCAGTGCTGTGCTTTAACCCGCTGCGCCACCAGGGAGGGCTTGGGACTGACTCTCAAATGTTTTAACTAGTGAATATAAACTCTGTTAATGCTAAAATTCTACTGTACTTTGTGCAATGAGGCAATTAAATAGTGTAACCTTTTCTGATAGAATCGACATTATGTTAGAATCTTTTCTGATAGAATCGACATTATGTTACATTAATAAAATGTATTGGTAATGCTCTTTCAATTTTTTGTTTTTAGGTATTAGAATATTTAAATGATCTGAAACAGTATTGGAAAAGAGGATATGGGTATACTATTAATAGTCGATCCAGCTGTACCCTATTTCAGGAGATCTTTCAGCACATGGACAAAGCAGTTGAGCAGAAACAAAGGTAGAAACTTAAAAATAAGTTATGTATATTCTGAAAAATGTCTTGTAATGGGTGATTTGAAACCTTGATTTGGCTTTTGCATTTCAAAACTATTTTCATATAATAATTATATCACCAAAAGAAATTGCTGACATATAAGATGTAGAGTGTATGAATTCTTATTAACCCCAAAATTAAAACATTACCATTAATTTGCATTTATCTATGTATTGCTCAGTGATTCCATTTTTATGCCTCTCTTTGCCCCCTGCACTCTAACCCTTTAATTACTATTCTGAATTTTGTGTTTATCATTCTTTTTCCTCCTTAAAAAGTTTTTATTATGAAGTATGTTTACCTAATCAGTGTTATTTTTTGCTTAAAAATCATATGCGTATTGTCTTTTTGTCCTTTCAACATTGCATTTATAGTATTCATTATATTGTTGTATAGTACCATAGTTCATTCATTTTCATTACAGTACAATAATCACTAATACACAATATTCAGTAGTTAAAAATCATAAGTTACATTACTTTCTCTTGTCAGAGGCCATTTGAGGAGTTTCTACTCTTTGCTATTGTAAAGAGTATGATTGATCCTTGTGGAATGTATAGTAAAAAAGGCCCTTTTTTATATTTAGTTTCTCATTGAAAAGCCTTTGGTGACATTTGTGTTTTTCCAAGTTAAAAATTTCCTAATATGAGCCTTTGATAGACACTAAAGTTCATTTAATTTGTAAATATATTTCAATGAAAGCTTAGACATTCACAATTGGAGATGAAAATCATGCTATAGAGATTGAGGCAAAGCCTAAAGATGGTATATTTTATTGTGTTTGCAGTGTTAGTTTTTGTGTGTGTATGCACAAAGGTAGAAACTTTTTTCTAACTGTGACTGCAGTTCATAGAATTTTTTTGCATTTAACGAAAGGGAAGGAAACCAGATGGTGTGTGGTTAATTTCTGGTGCAAAAACTTCTGTGGGACAAAATAGTCAAGGCAAGTACTCTTTAACATAGGTGTCAGCTTCTTTCCTCCTTACTTTTGATATAGGTTTATAACTTTTAGACTTTGTGATAATAGATCTTTACTACTTGTTTATATTGTTGAATATGCGGTATATAATAAATAGAAAATTGTGTCAATAAGATTGTTAACTAACTTTTTACATGGTTTGCTATTACCCTTTGAGGTCAGGTTTAGAGCGTTAGTCAGAAGGTTGGCTTTGATATTTTATTAAGTTATTTCTATACACTGAAAACTATTAAACCTTACACAGAAAAATTAAAGAAGACCCAAATAAATGGAGAAATATACTGTCTTTATGGATTAGGAAACTAATATGCATGATAACATTCCCCTTAGGTCTCTTACTAGAAAATGAGAAGTTTCTTCTAAATTTTTAGAGAAATGTAAAGGACCTAAACGATATAAAACAACTTTGTAAAAATAAGAACAAAAGCACTTACTAAGTTTTCATAGTAAGTATTTATATGAAATCATAACCATAGACAAATAGGTCTTGGTAAAGAAGAAAGACAAGAAAAAATGCCCTGGGGAAAAGGATAGCCTTTCACCAAATGGTGCTGTAACAATTAGATACCCATGTTTAAAAATGACTGAGTCTTACCTTCACTATCTGTTTTTCTGAGTTTTATTTTACCTGTTTAATTAGCTGTCTGAAGTTTCTTTGATTTCCTGCAATTTTTCCATCACTTTGATTTTTTATTTCTTTTTTGTTTTTGGCTATAGCAATTTTGACCTATCTGATAATCTTTCATGCCTTTGAGGTTTGACTACAGAGATTTGTTCTCCACTTGTGATGTCCTATTCTCTTTGAGGTCTCAAAGTACCGTGTGTTACGTTTTTCTGTCTGTTCATTTTCCTGCTTTAGATTTCCCTATTTTTGTTTATTTATCTGTAACAGTAAATTAAGAATTGAATTACTACCACTTTCCCAAGTGGTAGCACTTTTGTTCTCTTAGGTTCATCGTCTTTTGTTGGCTTCTATGTAGGTCTAAAGACCTTATCTTGCATTTTCTGAGTCAGAGAGTGGGGGAGGGTTTTGGAATGGTTCAGATGCTGGCATGAATGTGCTGGAGTAGGCTGCTTTATGTTTGTGGCACCACTAGTAACCCTCTTAGGATTTCCATGCCTCAGAATGCTGCAGTCTGTGTGCTGCTGTTTCATGGTGGTAAGGGAAGGAGAGTACAGCCCGGTGTTTTCACTGGACCACTCTCCTGTGGTGATAATCCCAGCTCCATCACGCATTTTCCCTTAGTCAGGAGTGTGCCTTCTATATTCCTTAGCTGTCCCCTCCCCAGGGCCCTGGCTAGTTAGCAGTTGTTGGTGTATTCCCCTGCTCCAGACCACAGCATTCTGTGTTTCGCTATCACCTTCACTTCCATGAAGCATGTCTCTCTCTTTTTTCTCTCTTCTCTGACAGTCTCTGCTGATCTCTGTTGTCCAAGGAGTGCATCAGTTTTACCCCAAGCCCGTGCCTGAAGCACTCTTTGGGTATAGTGCCCCTCCAATTAACTATTAGGTGATCCTCTAAGCCTCAAAATAAGAAATCTTCTTTGAAGCCATCTAGGTTTGTGTCTCCTGCCTCCTTTAACTAAGGAAGGAGAGAGTGTGAGTAGTGATTATAAAGAAACTATCAGGTGCATTTCAGGAACTGGTTATCTCTACACTAAATGACTGATTAAGATTTTAAAAATTGATTTATTGATAATTAACTGATTGAAGATTAACTCTATTTAAATAGATAAAGGTAAAGAAGTGTATTTAGCAACTTATGTTTCTCCAAAAAAGAGAATGATGAGATCAGTGCAAAAATCAAGAGTATTTTTCAAGAAAATCAACATATGCTTATAGGAAAAAATAAGACTTAAACAAATAGATGATTTTTTTTAGTACTTTATGTTAACCACAAAATTGAGTGGGAAGTATATATACCATTTTCTGATTCACACATGCAACCTCCTTTACCGTTATCACATATCAGTATGGGAGAACAGTAAGATTTTAGTAGAATATCTTATTTATTTGTTGTTTATTTTTCTGACCTGTCAGAACATTAACTTTTTCTCCATAACTCTTAAAGTCTTGTTTTTGTATTTAGAGTTCATAAGAAATGTGTTTTTCTCTTTCTCTGTATACATATGAATGTATATACATTCAATATTTCTCATTGTTGCTTATGAAAATGTCTCGTTTATTTTAGCATTCCCAGGCTACTTTGCTTTCTCTCCTCCTTGTCCACCCTGCGCTAAATGGTATTTAATAGCCAGGTTGTTTCTTTTTATATTAACAATCAGTCAGAGATAGCTTCAGTATTTCTGAGTGTTTTTCAACAGAATTTTACTTCACATAAAAAAATTGAACATTGTAAATAGCTAATTAAAAATGTCAACATTTCATTTAAATAAAATCAGCTCTTCAAATTCTGGGCCTTAGACTTTTATTAAAATCTTAATTTTTAATTTCCTTTTAAACCATCACAGAGTGATGAAAGTTGAAACCAGTTCAACTTGTTATTGAACCAAACTTAAGCAGCTGTTGCTGTTTAAGCAGCTATGGTTAGAAAAGCAGATTGAATTTTCTGAAGAAATGAGATATATCTGGATGTTTCCCGACTCCTTCCCCACTATCTGTTAATTTATTTTTATCTTTTTAGACTAGATAAATTGAGTATTGAAAAGGTCACTTTTAAGTTTTTATTCTGGACTTTATTTTATTTTTTAAATACTTCATTTATTCATACAGAACTGGGGTACAGGCCAGAGGTTCAGGGGCTGGTGAGAGGATTCACCAGCGACAGTGGGGAGCAGAACAGGAAGACTGATGAAGTATGTTGTGGAGGGGAGCAGTGGCCGAGACAGGAGAAGTCTGCACCATATGGGTCACCTCTCTGGCTGGGGCTTAAACTCATGCTGAAGCAGCTGTGATCAGCTTCATAGTGCTGTGCTGTAACCTGTTATGCCACCAGGGAGGGCCTATTTTGGGCTTTAATTGTTTGCTACATTATATCTTCCATTTTGTCAGCCACCAGAATTAATTGCTGTTAATGATTATTACTGTAATTAGTAACTCAGTGTTAAACTTTTCTAACTTTTCTTTAATTCAAATCTGTTGTTATTTTCATTTTTCACTACTGAATAAAGAAATGTGTGGCTTTTTAAAGTTGTGTAGTTCCATATGTTAACATGAGATGGCAGCATTGAAATAAGTGTGTGGTAGCATCAAGTGGTTTTTAAATAGATGTTTTGTTTAATTACTTATCCCTACATTGTAATGGGAGAACTTTGTGTTTTAAAATTCTTAGAAACATATGTAGATTTCAGGTGTTTAGAACCTGTCCTTGCTTTTTGTTGTCTTTCTGAAAGAGTTCTGTGAAATTTAACTATGTATATCAGGAAGCTCTTTTAGTGTTAGTTAAAAGCTGGTGAAGAAATGTCAGAACTTATATATGAAAATCTGTCCATCCTTCCATCTTTATATCTACCATGTATGTGTTCTGAATTCAGATTCAAATGTCCAACTGCCTTATAGATTCTTTTTGACTCTCAGTAGGGTATAGGTCTGTGATGTCTTAAGATTTTATTTCACTGCTTTCTTCTCCCCTTGCTTAAAGCAAGCAAATATAATTGGTACCCATGATTCTTTGAAGTAATATCTGCAATCCTGTTTTCTCCTTTATTCTGTTTTAGACACTTGTTACCACCATGCTCTGGGTATCTAAGTCACAAACCTTGACTCACTCCTGCATTTCTACATCTCCTCGTAATGTTGTAGTTTTTTTGCTTTTACTTTTATATCAATTCCCTTCACTTCTTTATCCCCCCCACTGCTACCTTCTCAGTTCAGTCTAACATCATCTGTGTCCCAAATTTTAGCAACTGCCTTCTAAGGAATTCCCTGATTTCAGTGTTAAATCCTGTGCTACTCCCATTATAAATCAATATGCTGATAATGGAAGGTTTATAAAGATGAATACATTTAAAGTATTATGTTGAGG